AAGGAGAGGGGGGGGGTCGTACCGAGACCCTCATTTAGGTGGAGGGTCGTACTGACACCACCATTTCACACATCACGATGCTGTACCCTGAGAGTGAATCAGCCTACTTGACGAAAAGGACTATATTTTGAGTGAACAACAATGGATGGATAGAAGATCGGACGACCATGGGGAGTTGAGAAGATCCGTATGGCTCGAGCCCGGTGAGGTGCTGGTACGAATCCCTCCTGTGGTCAAGGCTTTTGCTCATAACTCGGCATTCTTGTGATAACTTCCGAAGCGCAAACTGTGGCGGTGAACATCAGCTGTCATAACAGAACAAGTTTCACCTCCAAACGTCAATTGTGATATTTGAACCAACCCGGTACATTTTCTTTGCCTTCCATCCAACGCGACAATGTCATTAATGCACGACGATCTCGAAGAACATAAGACTCTTCAATAGGCTGTTGTCCCTGCAAAAAAAAACAGTAGTTCATATTTCCGAAAGGGCATAATCGATAGTTCCCTCCTCACGTATGCCAAAGAGCAAAAGCCTTTCAGTCACAAACGGAGCCACTAACAACGTACGCGGTTCGGGTGTCAATTCCCGGATCGGCACCCGTCCGGACCATCGTTGCATGGTAAGGTCGGTGAATCAGTGCCAGGTCCGTTAGGGAGGACAGAACACCGAATCGTACCTATGTTGCCCTCTCTCCCCATTCATTATGTAGGCCAAATCGCATTAAAATAGGCACTACAATTCTGAATCCATGTAAAACGCGTAGCGCACGTGCAAAGGGATTGACACGACATCGTTCTTCATAGGCATGCTCCGCGATAGTAGCTCGTCAGTAAAGGAAAAAAGTGGAAGAAACCGTCAAAAGTTGTATAAATAAACTCCCCTTGGAGCAGATGGCGCACACAAGGTGTGTTCGGTTCAGCCCTCACTTTGGTGTTATAACGGTATCAAACGAATTCCCTTATTACTTCAATCTCATCATTATGATGCAATAAGCGAGTTAGCTCCAGAAAACCGAAGTTTGTAGAAGGGATCGCAGGGCGCTGTACGTGTAGTCAATGGGCGGGCGAGGCATCACTTGCGTATGACCGCCATAATGCACTATTGCGCGGTCCGGAGTTTGAGAGTAATATACCTACGCGTCTGCAGATCGAAGCAGCTTTGTCTACATAGAATGTGGGAATTTACGCACACAGATGATCGGGAAACCTTCTAACCCAATATCGCGTCGGTGTCCGCCAACAGATTGCCTGAATATTAGCAGGTGTCGCAACTCACTAGAATTTGAGAAATAATGCAAAGGATAAATGATAAAGTCTTTCCGCCGTCTTGATCATCTTTCTTTTGTAGGATGCCGGTCAATTCTACTTCCATTCAGAATCGTAGTGGCTTATTGAATGCGATGTGGCCTATACAATGACTTGCGGTGGCCAGCCGATGTACAAGTCAGTGTTTTATCCTCCCAGACGAATCTGGTACCAATTTACCGTCCCAGGATAGAAGGCTTGGTTGGCCTGGGCGGGAGTCGACCCGGGATTCGAACCCGGGACCGCAAGAGCTGTGAGCGCGCCACTTGTCACTGCACCACCTCCGCGCTGAGAAATAACAATGAGAAAAAAAATTGAGCTATTGATGCGAGGAAGTCGAAAGGCGGAAATCATCAGCAGCTCAAAAATACATTGTGGACTATGAGCATCTGATCGATTCCTTGAAAATTCCTTTACTTGAGATTCGTGGGACAGACTAAGAAATATTGTTAAAAGAACAAGACTGATTCCTGTGATTTTATGGGAGCACTGTGGCTCTCGTAGAGCCCTACAAGTGGATCGTTACAGTCTACGGGTGTTCAATAACTCACCAATTTTACTATAATGTTTACTAGTAGAAAAATGATGGCACCGTTGCAGTGACGTCCAGCATCCTTGGGTGGTAATAATTAACATCCTGATATACCGATGTTAACCAAGCCATGGAACTACGCATGGGCTGCAGCTATTGCATTCATTCGGCGCCCTTCGGTTACTGGGGGAGGAGGGAGGGGGGGGGTGTGGAGAGGGACGGGCATTTTCTAGTTTGCCGATTTACCTTGCCGTGGAATAGCACGTCTTCTCTTGATAAAGTCTGTAGACTACTTTAGAAGCAAACGAACCGCAAGCTATAGCATATCCTTATTGAAACTCACAGCTCTCCAGAGAAGGCATCGCCAATGATCAATAAGAACTAGCGAAATACCCCCACCAACCCAAACTACGCCCATTCATTTCCTTCTTAATAGCATAAAGAAAGCACAAGTTCAATTCTATACGTCCCAATAGCAAATAAATTCGAGAGGCTGTAGACTAGTGAGAGTAATGATAAGAAAATTTTCCTTGAAGCTGCCGAACTTTGCTTTCGTAGTGTTCCAACAAGAGCGATTCTGTGACTCTTGGTAATGGCTAAATGGCTTTGATAAATAGGCACATT